TGTTTTCTGATTGTTTCAGCTGTAAATGGTAGGAATTAATGAACTTTCTCATCTTCTCTCCCCATTCTTCTCCTATATTTTTGTTATCTGTATCCCTTCTGCATTGTCAGGGCATACATTTTACTCTATCATAGTAATTCCCTGGTTTATTTTAGTCTCAGTTCTACATTAAATATCTTCAGTGTGTGCTATCCCTCCTTTGGCTGTGGTTTCTCTAGCCTTCTCTTGGCGAGTTGATCCTATTGTAGTAGTTTCCTTGAGGGGCTCCTGAGAAATTTTTTTTTCTGGTTTCTTCTATGTTTAAAGCTGTTTGTACCTTTGACACTTAAAAGATGGCTTGGCTAGATAATAAAATCCTCTGCTCACACTTTTCCTGTATATCTTGTAGTTATTGTTCCATTCTCTTCTGCCACTGAATATTGCTATGGAAAATCTGGGGCCAGGCTTTTTGTTTTTGGTCTGGCTGCCCAGAGAGCCCTTATCTTTCAAGTGTGTTAATTATACTAGGATATATGTTAATGTTTACCATTCTCATCCAGTTTGCCTTGGCCCCTAGTATGCCCTTTCAATATATAGATTCACCTTTTATTTCAGGAAAATTTTCTTAAATTTAATCTGAATTGTTTTGTTCTGTTCTATGGGTTTGGTTTTCTGCTTCAAAGATCCAGTTATGTAGAGGTTGTGTTCGCTTTGCTTGTCATCTGTAGCTGTAATTTTTTTGAACTATTTTCCATTTCATTTTGTTAGGTCCTTAATTTTTCCCATATGCTTCTCCCTTGTGCTCCTTCTCATTTCTTCTTCAGTTCTATGATAGTTTTGATTTGTTCTTATTTTTCTTGAGTTCTGACTCTTCGCATTTTTATCTCTTCCTTGTCTCACTGTCTCTTGGCTGAGTTCATTCTGCTTTGTGATTACTCTTAAGCCAATCACCTCTATTAAGTTTTAAAAATTGATGCCATAATGTTTGCTCAGAATTTTCATGTATTCTTTGGCTGTACTGTTCTGATCATGTTCATCAGGTAAGTTTTGGTTCTCTTTTCCTTTTTTAATTTAAAAATTAAATATCTTTGAATTGATGCTGTGCTATTTTTTAAAAAAATTCATTACTCATCATAAAATGACTGGCATTACCCTGCCCGAGCTCTTTGTGGGAAAATCCCTTGGGGGAGGGTGTGTATAAAGGGGCGCTTGGGACAGGGCAGCCTTCTGTACTTAACACTTGCAATACTCTCTGCTTCCCTGTTTCCACAGACACTCTGCTTCCTGCTAAAATGGCCTTTCTGTATAGCCCTGCCCTCTCTGCTTCTCTGAACCCAGCCGTGTCCAGGAGGTCGTCTGCTGCCAGCCCTGCTGCCCCTCTGCCCACTTCCTTTGCTACACCAAAGGGGTATATCTTTTGCACTTCAGGGTGAGCCCCTCACCTTCAGAGCACGCAGTTGCTCGTGTTTCCTGAGACGTGCTGCCCAGGGCTATTGCTACCCTCACTTACCATATTCTCCCCTTCTTCCCGCCTCCTCCCCAGTAAGGCCTCTGCTTTAGCTCCACTATGTCTGCTCTAGATTTCAGGGTTCTTCTAATATGCAAAGGATACAGGTTGTCACTCACTTCAGGGTGAGCCCATACTCACAGAAAGCATATTTTGCTGGCATCTTCTGTGATCTTTTGCCATTGGGCTTTCTCATTTGTTTCCCTCTCTCATCGTGGAATCATGGCTGATGTAACATAATTTTAGCAGCCCTTCCACAGATTCCTTGAATTGTTTTGCTGAAAATGAAACCTCGCCCTCCATTTTCGTTGTTTGTTTTGTATGATACTCAGGAGGAGAAAGCTGGTGTTCCAGGGGGCGTATTTATAGTGGAGGTCTAGTGTACTCTTTAAAAGGATCTCTAAAGCCCCTGTATTGAGAGCAGACTTTTAGGGGAATAAGGGTGGAAGTTGGGAGCAGCTGTTATGAAGCTATTATAGCTTTCAGGTGCATTAATGATGGACTGCATCACAGTGGTAGCTGTGGGAATGGTGAGAAGTGGTTAAATTCTGGATGGATTTTGAAGGGAAGCCATTTGGGATTTGCTTATGGATGACCAAGAGCAGGGAGTCATTTGCAGCTGTGCATATCTGTCTTTCAAATGCTTCTCTGTATTACGGAGCTCACAGCTGGCTTTAAGTGGATAGGACCTATTCACAGGAAGACTTCCCCTGTGGCACTTCCCATCTTGCCGAGTTATCAAAATGAGCAGGACTTTACTCCTTTTGTGTCTCAGGTGGAGTCCTTTGCTGTATTTAAATTCTGGGTGGAACTGATTTCCTTTTGTTGCAGGTCTGTTGTAAAAGCTTTGAGTGCTCTTGAGCTCAGGTCTGCTTCTCTTCCTGGTCCGAGCAGCCACATCAGGGGCCCTCCACATGCCCATCTTCCATCCTGCTCAGAGGTGGTTCTTGGGCCCTGCTTGGGGTTAATGTGCTGTAGCCAGTTGCTCCACATACTGGGAAGCCTGCCCAGCCATTCCTTAGTCATCTCACGAACTATCCTGATGATTGCCTTAAAGCATGTTCTCTGCTTGCTCAACTGAGGATCCTTGGCCAAAAAGAAGTCTTCCAAATCTGCTAAGGCCTCTTTCAGTGTGTACTTGGATTGTGGTTCTCTCTACTTAGGTTTATTCATTATTAATATTATCCCATTTGCTTTCTTACAGAAATTTATCAAAATTTTTGGTCTGCTGTTGTTTCAGTGCTGCCATGGTTACATTATTTTTGTCATTTCAATAGGATAGTGTGGCAGAGGGCAGGCGAACTCCTGTGCTTCCTGTCTGCCATCTTGATCTGATTGTTCGTGTTACTCCTTAAGAATTCAAGGAGGGGAATACGGAAGAAAAAGGATTTGGGAAGGATAAGATCTTTTAGATTCAGAGGTTAGAAAATGAATTGGCTAACATGTAATATACTATTCATTCAGGGCCTTAGTATTTCTGGCTTATTACACTTTTCCTGGCTGCTCAGTTATGGTATAGTATAATTGAGTGTCACTTACTTTTTTTGAAGAGTCCCCCTCAGAAAGCAGAATCTGAGAAAATAGAATTAAAAATGATCTATCTAGTTTATGTCCATGGAAAGTCTTATGTCATCCATATTTAGTTTCTAATTAGTGACCTACCTGTAATCATGTGATTTTAGGAAACCTATAATTTTATATTTTTCCTATATTGGGAAAAATGTGTCTAAGTTTTAATAAAAGATAGGATATAGAAGACTGCTTTAGGGAAGGTACTCTGAATATTTAAGAATGAAAAGATATTTTAAATGTTGAGTTTACATAAGTAGCCAAATTAAGTATACTGAAACATTTTCCGCTTGTATTAAATTCCTTCAAAGTATATGACGTCAAGTGCTATGGGGATTAACTGCAAAGGTAAACCTCACTACTGTTTATAATGGTTTTCTGTTTGTATACTAAATTGGAAAGGTATTTTGTGATGTCACTGTGGTTGGGTGACAGTAATATTTAATGTTTCATATTAATATTTAATTAATGCATTGAGGCAGGAATTAAGATAAAAGCTTGAAGTGCCCCCTGCCCACAGGCCAAAGGTAGCACTGGTTCATTTTTCTGTGTAGTGCAGGCTAACTAAATTTGTCAATCTTACTCTACTATCTTTCTTATTTTAATCTGCCAAGGTGCCTTCCTAAACCCCTTCCAGGATTAGCTGTTGCTAAGATGAATGCTCAGGCATGTTATCCAGAGAGATGTCCTTTCCCACAGTGAAATGCATTTCCATACAAACTAGAATTTGAACCCAGCAATCCATTATTTTGAGTTGTCTGTCCAGGGAGAACACTGAGAAAAATTTGTGTTGGGGTGCCTCAAGACCACCCCCAGATTTGGTGATTCAGGAGGAGGACACATGGGACTCAGCTTATAGTTATACTTAGGGCTAAGACTTGTTCTAGTGAATGGATACAAAACAAGACCAGTAAAGGGAAAAGGTGCAGGGGGAAAAATCTGGAGAAACCAGGTGGAAGATTCCAAGAGTCTCTGTCTGTGATATCATCCAGGACAAACTTAATTCCTCAACACATGTGAAGTTTTGGCTACTAGGGAAGCTTGTTAGAGACCCAGTGCCCAGGGTTTTTACTGGGGCCTGGTTAGGCAGGCACCTTCCACCTAGCTCATACTGAAATTCCAGACTCCTGGAAGGAAAGAAGATACTTAGCGTAAAACCACATTGTTTGTACAGATTAGGCATGGTGAGCCATTCTTATCAGGGAAGGTGGAACACTCCTGAAATCCAATTTTCCAGATGCCAGCAAGGGGCCAACCTTGCAAGCAGCCCTTTCTAAGGATAACAGGCTCAGGCCGGCTGATTTGCCTCTTTTCTGCATGACATTTGATATCCAGAGGCCTTTTATTTTCTAAATATTCAAAATAATCTAAAATAAAAGATGTAATGTAGATTCTCATCAGACTTCCCATACCAGGACTCTGTGTGTTTTCTGTTTTGGTTGACACTTTAAAAAGATTAGGTTTGTGACAGTTTGTGTTGAAACCTGTGGGTGATTTAGTCATTCTGATGGCTGATGGTTCCTCTTGCTCTCTTTCTAAGCCTCTAATTCTTCTGAACTGTGGACTTGTAGCTGACCATGGAGATTTCTTTGCCACTGTCTTATTTTCCTCTGTAACACTCACCTTAATCTTAGCGATGGAAGATTGCTTTGTAATAAAATGCTAGTATTAAAATATCTCAAAGGTGTGGGAAGGTGGGCAAGTAAACAAAGAGCGGTGAATTTTATTGAATGGGAATAATAAGCTACCTACATTCAGCCTTAATTATGCCTTTTATAAGTTTGTGAACAAAATTATTAAGGTTATATCACTTCTTAGGCTCTTAGCAGTAACGGCAAAAGAGTGAAGGGGCTGGGGATGACGACTTCAGTATCAAATGTGCAGGATAAGTAAAAGTCAAATTATAATTCCTCTTAACCGTATTTTCTTAAACATATTTTGACAGCTATTCAGGATTACGAAACTGCTCAGGAACACAATGAAAACGATCAGCAGATTCGGGAAGGTCTAGAGAAAGCACAAAGACTATTGAAACAGTCACAGAAACGAGATTATTATAAAATCTTGGGAGTAAAAAGGTGAATTATTCAAAATTTGCATGGTTATTTTTAACCAACTCTGTTTTAAAGCTAATCATTGCTTTTTTCCTCTCTGATTTATTTCCTTTCCTTCTGTAATTTCAGTCGTAGATTAAACCCTAACAATCTTTAGTATCATAAAGCTATTTAGAGTATGTTACAGATAAATTTCTTTGATAGAGACTAGTAATACAGCAATGGGGAATTAGTAATTGGTGACAAAGATATAACACCGTAGCACGAATAGGTGCTAGGCCTCGATTTTTAAAGACGGGTAAAGAGGTGAGCTTTTTTTTGGTGGGGATAGAAGGGAGAGAGAGAATGAAGAAAAGAAAACTTCTTTAGGCCTAAACATAAAGTGGCACTTTTGGAATTATCTTGCAGGCACTGGGAGGTACATAATTTACTCAACATGTGCTTTTATATAAGACCTACCTTCCCTGAACAAGGGAACCATCGGTCTTTCAATCAAAAGTCTGAAACTTTGTTCTCATTATGTAGCTAATCCAGAAGCAAAATAGAAGGTGGGGTTCCAAGAGGCAAAGTATCTTTTTTAATGCTAAAAATTAAATCATGGTAGCTTGGAAATTTAGAAAGTTTAAAAATAAGTCTATGTGACTTTAAGGGAAAATTGTAAAAATCAGGAGTGCTTTAATTTGTACCCAGTAAGACTCTAATCTTAGTGAACACGTATCTCGGAAGCCTGACCAGCTTTAATGATCCTCCAGAACAGTACGTCAGATGTTCAGTCTGTGACGCCACTGGCACTGTGAGGAAGACCAGGTTGCTAGTTTGCCAGTGGGATCTTAACTGTCTCTTTTAGTTTTTTGTGGCAGTGTGATGGACATTTCTTAACTAATGATAATTAATTTTACCACCCCTCAGAAATGCCAAAAAGCAAGAAATCATTAAAGCATACCGAAAATTAGCGCTGCAGTGGCACCCAGATAACTTCCAGAACGAAGAAGAAAAGAAAAAAGCAGAGAAAAAGTTCATTGACATAGCAGCTGCCAAAGAAGTCCTCTCTGATCCAGGTATGCTCCGCCTTTAACGCTTGTGTTCTCTGGAGAGAGTGGAACGGGCGACTGGCGACGTACTCGCTCTGTTTCTGTGCCCACCTAAGAGGCAGTGTGAGCAGTAGGGGTGGAGGCGCGGTGGGCAGGCTCAGGACTGACAGGCACAGCAGTGGAGTGGCCTCCTGGACTGTGCAATAGGGGACCCCCCTCCCTTCAGGTCTGAGGAGCCTTAGCTCTGTTCAGATTTAATGGCAAAGCCCTAGGGAGCTCACCAGGCGCTTCAGGGGTTGATGAGGTTGTGCCTTCACTGTCGGTGTTAGGATGGTGCCATGGCTGTTTGATCAGAAGAGCGTGACTTTTGGAGGTCTCTTTCTCTGCAATTATTCACTTTCTCCAGAGAAGAATTTCATTGAATACCCATTTTCAACTCTGAACCTCACCCCCTTCTGCTGTGACTGGGGTTTCTCGAGTGTTTCTCCTGAGACCAAACCTCTGATTCTGGGTGGGAATGGGAGAGCTTTGTTTTGAGTACTGGGCACACTGCTCCCTCTCCCTTAGTCAATACTGGGTCTTAATTTGCTGGTTTCTTTTTTAGAAATGAGGAAGAAGTTTGACGATGGAGAAGATCCCTTGGATGCAGAGACTCAGCAAGGAGGCGGCGGCAACCCTTTCCACAGAAGCTGGAACTCGTGGCAAGGGTTCAACCCCTTCAGCTCAGGCGGACCTTTTAGGTTTAAATTCCACTTCAATTAAACCAGCTGTTTTTCTGCTCTTTTTTTTTTTTTAACGATTAAAAACAACGAAACCTTGTTCCGGGATCCTAATGAAAAAAAATTTCAAATCTTTCAGTTTGTCCATGACCAAAGAGTTGTTTTGATAGGAAAAATCTGTTCTTCTCCATTTTAGACGGGAGGGTGTTGGGTTTGCGAGGGCCGGGAGCTGAGGATGTGCTGGGTCTGGCAAAGCGGCCGCGTCTACGCTGGAGTGTCTGCAACGGTGCTCTGAGGCCGGCTCGCCTGTGCAAGCGCTCATGGAGGAAGGAGTGTGGGTTCCTACACATGGCAGAAGTTGCTGTAACTTCTTGAGAACACGTTGTGTTTCAGAATTCTTAAAGAGAATATTGACATTTAGAGCTGTTTATTCTTAGGGACAACTTTGCTTACATTTTGGTCAGTCCAGTCACTTGCAATGATCTGTTAAATTTGAGCCTCCTTTAATCCACATGTATTGCCATCTCTACTAGCTCGAACATGGCTGTCACTGAAGGAGGGGCTGGGCCCATCTTCTAGAAAACCTGCCACCAACTGGTGGTCGATGTGGCCAGGTTTAGACTTTGGATTGATGTTAAGCATATATTTTATGTTTTTTTGTTCAGTACCTGCACGACAATACTGAAAACTACTGAAACAGAATTAACTGTAAAAGCCTATGGCCCTTTTGTTTAATATGAAACAACAAATTAACTGAAAAATAATATGTAAAATACGTTCAGATAATATAGCAGGGGTACTATTTAGAATAATATTGCTGAAGTGCAGAATGAAATACTTTAACAACTGAAGTTGTGAGCTAAACAATTTCCTGTAACAGGATTCGCTTAGCAACGTAAAGTTGCTCAGTCAACATAAAGAAACAGAATGCCATGTTTCCCACTTTTAATAAATACAGTGGGCACTTCTCTTCCATCCTGGCTGACCCTCTTGGAGTGTAGTGACTCCCACTGGGCCATCTGAAGTGGGCCTTTGACAGCAGACCTGCCCCTCCACCAGACCTTGATGCCTCTGCGTGTTCCTCCTGCCTAGAAGAAAGCCCAGGTGTGGATCCGGTCAGCGCAGGCTGCATTCCCCTCAGGAGGGCAGCTCCTCTTGGGGCACCTTCTCACCTTGGAAGAATTGAACCCTTCAGTCTTTGTATACTGGATAATTTTTTCCCTAAGAAATAAGTGTTAATCAAGAACATTAAATATTTATGGAACTAATGATGCTGCATTTAAAATCTGAGAGAATTTAGATAAGAATTACCTTTATTCTGGAAAGGCTTTGTTTTTTCCCTCAGAGCATTTTGAAGCATTTTAAGCAGGGTCTAATAATATATTGTTTTTATGAAATCAAGTATTTTCATTTTAGTTGTGGGAGGCATCCTGATCACTAATGTCCACAACAGCCAAGCACAAATCGTTTTCTTCTACAGTCATCCTGAAACGTATGTGGAAAAAATTTTTTTAAACTGAGAGACAAAAATCACATAGTTGAATAAAACACAAGTGCTTTTTGCATTTATTTAGGCGTCTATTTCTTACCAATAAACTTAACTGCATTTTGAAAACTAGTGAACAGCTTGTAGATTTCATTTTGTTTTAATGTCTCAAAATTCAAACCAGTGTGAAAATTTCCAAGGCAAATGCATTTTGGTTTATTCTTTAATCTCAGTAATCTTACTACTTCATTAGTTATATCAGCAATATTTTTTTCCAGTCTGGTTCTTTCGTATGTGATGTCACTGTGACCTCTGAAATCTAGCAATGGCCTCTACCTACTTTCAAAAGAAAAATTTTCACACAGAACCAGAACAAAGGAAATATCAAATCAGTTGCCCTTCCATTCAGAGAAGACGAAAAGTTGCCAACAACAAGGAGCCAGAGGGAGTCAGGCTGGCTGAGGGCGGGGCCCGAGGGACGTGTGTCCCCGCGCCTGTTACCCTCACTGCCTGCCAGCCTGCTGCCCAGAGGGTTGGTTGCATTTTTTTCCCCCACTTGTAATGACCTTAATTGTATTTCTGAAGTCTTGCTGTGGTTTTAGTTTAGTCACTGTAACTGAAATGTGCAGAGTTACTTGCTTGTTTTCAGTGGAGAGAGAGGAGAAGCTATGGTGCCACCTGCCAAAGCCACTGAGACAAATTCATTCTCTGGAATCTGTTGTTTTGCTGATTAATGAAGAAGATAATGACCTTTAAGTTCCAGCCTTGAGAGGTGTAGCAGTCTTCTGGTACCCACCTCAGTGGACAATCAATTCATGCTTTCTTTGACAGTGACTGAGAAGAACTCTGGGCGTATGAAGGGAAAGTCTTCCTCCTGCCAGCTTGATGGAGGAGAGCGTTATGCAATGAAGAGCATCTGCCTGAAAAAGCATTTGACTTGTTTTTGGGCTACTTCCACTTACCACTCTCCAGTTTCTGTTTTTGGGGACTGCAGTTGCCCGGTAACCTTTGCGGCTCTTTCTGGAAAAGTAAAATCAGAGGGGTACCTAGCCTTAGCTGTATTATGTTCCCTTCCTAAACTCCTCCCTTTGCTGGTGAGCTCCAGAAGTGCAGCGTCGCTGGTCTGTACACTGTGGACACTGCCCACAGCAGTGAGTTTTATACACATCAGCCTATACACGTGAAAAAGTTCTAGAAAGATAATAAATTATTGCCCACTTCTGAAAGTTTATGCTTTCTCACCATGAATAAATGAAAACTTGAAAACAACTTCTATAGTTTACTAATGTGAACTTGATGTAACATAATGCTAATTTTAAAATATCTCTTTAGTCAGTATTAAAAGTTTATTTTTAAATATCAATATGAAAACAGAACCTTTTGGGACTCTGATAATGGAATGTAAAAGCCCAGAAGTTTTTTTTTGCTGAGGAAGATTAGTCCTGAGCTAACATCTGTGCCAGTCTTCCTCCAGTTTGTATGTGGGATGCTGCCACAGCATGGCTGATGAGTGGTGTAGGTCTGTGCCTGGGATCCGAACCCGCAAACCTGGGCCACTGAAGCAGAGCACTCAAACTTAACCACTACACCACAGCGCCAGCCCCACCCACAGTTTTTTTAAAGAGAAAAATACTACTGATAACCATGTAGGAAAAAAAAAGCTAACAGAATCACAATTTGAAATTGGCACCATTTTCTATTCATGGTAGAAAAGGAAAGATTCCACCTTTAAAGGCATGAAATTGGTCAGAAGTTGTGACATTTATCATGAAAAAAATGCCTAAGATGCTTATGTTAAAAATGGCTCCTCAGTCAGGTCTGTGGTAGAGCCGACTGTCTTAAAGGTATAGGGCACTGGTGATGGGCCTTGCAGAAAGTTTTCACTGAGTACCACATCCATGGTAAAACCTAGAGAAATTCATGCAACTTTGTTGAATGTAATTGACTTTTCCATATTTATAAAGGAAGAAGGCAAATGTTAATTTGTCAACAAACAGTATCCTTATTCTAAGATCATTCCTTTTTTGTTAGCAGCAGAGTTTATTCTGTAATTGAAAATGACGTTAATAGGTGGGGATAATTTTTTTTTATGGATGATCTCATTTGTTGAATGATTTAAGAGTACAGTTAGCCACTGCGTGGCTCTGTGTATGTATCGTACCAGGTCTTGTTGCACTCGTCTTAGTTGAACCTCTCACCTGCAGTGGAAAGCAGAGGTGGAGGAGGTAAAAATTGGAGATGTTTGATGTTAAAATATTACTCCTACCTTAAGACTATAGTTGGTTTTTAATGAGACAAAACTAAGGAAGTTAATCCATCTCAATTTAGTGTTTTAAGTAAAAACTCAAAATTAATTGAAATGGCTCTTAGACATGTCTACAAATATGGGTACTATTTTTATGCCCGTGTATTTTCACATTTAATAAAAATATTTATGGTCAATTCAGTACCTTTTTGCTTTCGATTCATTTTTAGTCACTTGCAGAAGTCTATATCCAACTTCACTTCACACATAATCAGTGACTGGGGAGACAAGGGCTCCTCCTTTATGAGCTCAAGTCAGAGCACAAAAAGCAGAAATGGCTAAAATCTCAACCCCAAAAGTCCTAGGACAGCAAGGCCTTAAAGTAGACAGTTCTTCAATTTCAATACTACTAAAATCTAATATTTAAATTGGCTTTTTGGGGAGCCTTTCCCATTTATTCCATCATTTCTGTTAGGTCCTAAGCGGAGGAGGGAACGCTGCTGCCTATATCTCATTCATTCTTCTCAATTACATATTCTGCATATGCTAAAATTGAAGGACAGCTAGAATACTTACACAGAGCTTTCCAAGAAAGTGCAAAGTTTCCAAATGGTTAATAATCAGTTCATGATATTTTGCAATACATGAGCAATCAGCCTTAGTCTAAAGACAGTGGAAATGTCTGCACAGGCTGCCAGAGCAGGGGAGGATGCGAAGATCCAGTTTCTCCTCCGAGACCCCCAGGGGTCAGGACTTGGCAAGCACTAATTCCCTCTCCCTCCCAGCTCCTTCCCCAATTGTGTCTGATGATCTATAAAAAACAAATCCAGTCATTTTAATCTTAGGGCGTACAGGTCACACCCCAGGGACCCTACACTCTGCAAACCTTTATCTGCTAAATAAATCCTCCTTGAGAACAGATAGTCCACACAAGCTTAACATGCAAATGTATTTGTCACTGCCTTACACTAGGATTCAGTTACTAACAAGGAGGTGTCCAGGTGACAACTGTGAGGCTGCAGAGCCTTGTTTTGAATACATTTCCAACCTTCATTCACTAAGGGGTCAGTCTGCCAGAAGTCCCTTTTGATTTAGATAATCCCAGGGACTGAGCAGCCGGATTTCAAAGCACCTCTGGGAAAGTTAGTTTCAAGGTCTTTCTGAGGAAATTGCTGAAAAGCAGGAAGGAGAAACCACTGCTTGCAGCTTTTCTTAATGGATTTAAATTGTTCTAAGTCTTTTTGGTATTTCCATATTTCCTTGTTATTACAGGAGATTTCTACAGTTATATGCTTGAGCACAGTTTATCATTTGTATGTAACTAGGTAAAGGATTTTCTTCCTTAGACTGGTTTCCCTAAATGGATGTGATTTTTCTCTCTGGTGTGAAAGATGCTTTGAAGATAGCAAAGGATAACTCTTCTAACAATTACCATTTCACTGTATTGGGTTTTTCTTAGGATTTTATGAATACTCCTTCATATAGTCCACCTGTTAGGATGTTCTCTTTCCTGCAATGTTTATGCCTTTGTTACCTCAAGTTACTAAAACCTCATGAAGGTGGAAAGACTTCCTTCTACAATTGTACAAGCTTAGTGCAAACAAAATCACCTCTCCTACTGGATGCACTCTGCTAGGTCAACATGCAGGGAGGGGCCTGTGGAATGTGACCTTTGACCAAGGAAGTTTCTTAGGGATGCTGTGCAATGAAGAAAAAGGGCATCATCAAATCCCAAATAAGGCTATTTGTCCTTATCCAAGAGCTTTTACCCAATAAAGTAGTGATGTTATGAATAAATATAACTATTAGGAACAATGTAGGCATAAAGATATTCACTGAGCCATTGTGGATTAACACTGATAGACGTTAAAGCCCATCAAATCACCAAAGGGTCAAATCACCAAAGCTCCTCACATGGTTTACAAACTCACCTGCACGACCGTGGGCAGCCCGGCTCCAACCTCATTGCCTCCTCCTCGTCCTCAAATGAACAAAACTACCTCCATGCTGTTCTTTCTTTGCTTGTCTAGCGTGGACTCCAACTTGAGGTTTTATCCTCAATGTCACTTCTTTAGGCCTTTCCGGACAGTTCTCTTCATAGCATTTTCATTGGGATATTTAATGCCATTTATACTGGTTTAGTAACTTCAAAAGGACAGCCTGGCCCATAGTAGGTACTTAAATATTTGTTGGATTTGTTCAGGTTACAGAGACCTATATTATTGGCCTTATTCAAGGGCATCGTTTTCTGGTGAAAGGAGACGTGAGTACACAGAGGACAAGGCTCCGGAGCAGTGGCGGGTTCACAGCGCGTGCTGGGACAGCATCGGAGTAAGATGCTCTTAGACCAGACACCCCACTGTATGAGTAGTGACAGTTACTTCAAAACTCATCTTACTCAGCAAGGCTGTGCCATAATTATTCCTTCTCTACCTTTCCGCCAAATTTTGAATTAAACCTAAGTTTGATCTGGAGCCTTTGTCATTCAAACGTTTTGGTTTTGGAGCAGTCTTTTAAAATGAGTACTTTTTCTTCCCTCAATCCTAATCAAAACCTTTAATTTTAAAGTGAAATCATCTCAGGTAGGATACAAACCTCATATAGTTGGGCAGGTCCATAAGACTGAAGTAAACTTCTTCAATTCAAGTAATTAGGAACTGTAGGGGACAAGATTATTTTCCAAATCTGAAGTCTTTAAACAAAGATGTTAACAGTAAGTTCTTAATCAAGAGGCTTCACTCCAGAATTTCTCAGAAGACAGAAGTTTGTATTTGATAAGCTGGGCTAATCAGCCTGAAAATGGGGAAGAGCTGCCCATTCACTGCACCACGTCTAGACTGACTGTTCGGGTGGCTGTAGGAGGGGCTTGCACACAAACCATGCGCGC